AAAATAACGCTCTCCATAAACAGCCTTGCAAAACCAGGAAATTGAAAACGAATGTGGACAGTGTTGGGCCAGTAACAATCCATCAATTAATTATGTGCAGAATGATTAATGGCATGTGCCGGGGGAGGGGAAATGCCATTGCTGTTACAGATTTGGGACTGAATGTTGGAAACAGAAAAGCATTACTAGGAAAAGGGAGTCTCGTGTTGGTACTACTAACAAAGTTTCATGGCAGATGGAGCGGGATCACCCCATCCGTGAAGCTTTCTGGGCAGCCCCAGGGTGACCACTCACCGGTGTCTGCTGGCTGCTCATCTGGCTGCTGTTTGGCTCAGCCAGGGCTTGGAGCAACCTGGGCTGGTGGAAGATGTCCCTGCCCGTGGCAGGGGCTTGGAATGAGATGAGCTTTTAAGGTGCCTTCCAAGCCAAACCATTCTGTGATTCTATGACTGCCACGCCCCCAGCTCTGTGTGTGTTGCTGTGTTTGTGCAGGTGCTGCTCAGGGACCACGATGCAGCCTCCCTGTCCCCAGGGCAGGGCAGCCTGGGCTGCCTGGGCTGTTGCCCTCAGCAGGACCCGCTCTGGCCAGACCTGACGGTGCTCCAGCACCTGGAGGCATTTGCTGCCGTGAGAGGGATGAGGAAAGAAGATGCAGCTCTTACCATCAGCTGGTATGAAGCCAAATGACCTCAGCTTTGGGGTCTTCCTCCCTCCAGAGGCAGGGTCCCTCCCAGCCCAAGCCACCCTACGATTCTATAGGGCAGGGAAAGGTTTTTCCTGATAATAAACCTGCTTGGTGGTCACAGCACCAAGCCTGACATAGCTCAAGGAGCATTTGGGGTGAGTCTTGGGGATGGTCCTGTGCTGGGCCAGGAGGGGATCTCAATGGTCCTTGTGGGTCCCTTCCAACTCAGAGACAGAGCCTTCGATGCCTCTTTACTTTGGAGAAATGAGATCTCCTGATAAGGCCTGCTACTTCATACTGTTCTCAGTCTCTTGTCAAGGAAGATTTTAGCCCAAGTTTATCTAGAAAACTTCAGGAAAAAATTAAAGTTGCTCCAGTTCATGGCCAGTTATATGAGGAACTCATTTATCTCATTAGCTGCACTTAATGCCTTGAATTCCTGCAAAAATTCCTTCATTTACCATCCAAGTTAGGAGTAAAATCACCAGGTAACCCAAGGTGATATGTGTAGTCAGCCAAGACAGGTATGTCTGGTTCCTCAGCTCCCCTGATCACAGTGTTTGCACACCAAGTTGGTCATTTTGGCATTTTCCCTTTCCATTGCCCGCAGCATAGGCAAGGCCTTGGACCTCCTGAAGCATTTCAAGACCCCAGCCAGGAGGTTATCTGCTGGAGAAGCCAGAAAGGTACGTGTTACCTTCATCTTTGCTGCCTGAGCAAACCCTGCTTGCTCTTCCTTGGACAGAAAACCTTCAGCTGAGTGGGTTCCTGCCATCATTTATTTTCATCAATGGCTTTGGACTCAAGCCTGGCAGGTTCCTCCCTCCTCTTTCCACCCCCCTCTCCCACACTGTGTGTTTAATAAGAGCTAACCACAAATTGGATTTACAAGGTAATCACCTCTTCATGCCCCACCACGTGCATCTGCCAGTAAATGGGATGGAAAAGCACTTTCTCATCTCTGGCAGGCTTAGGAGTTTTGGGGAAATCTGATTTTGAGAGATTAAAATGTTAACTGAGAACACCTGATGTGTGGTTTGTTTGGGTTTTTTTTTAATCCCTGTTCCTCCTGCGTTTGGAATCAAGAGCTTCAGCTTCGAAAAGATTCATGAGGATTAAGATATATCAGGACAACTCACCAGTTTTGCAGGTAAAGTAAAGCAGCCCTGACCTCCTGTTGTTGCCATTTCAGGTGTGCTTTGCTCTGAGCATCCTGGGGGATCCGACAGTGATGCTTTGGGATGAGCCATCCGTGGGAATGGACCCGAAAGGGCAGCGCCGCATGTGGTGAGCGTGACAAAAAGGGCCTAAATGCCTGTTTTCTTCAGAGAAAAAGAAAAAAAATTATAGGTATTTCTTCCTTTAGTCATTCAGCCCTTGTGTTTGCTTTAGTGTAGAATCTGGGGGGAGGCTGCCGTGACAAACTGGAACACTGACATCGGCATCCACCTCACCTTCAAGCGAGATAGCGGAAGTCTTTCGAATAGTCATCCACTTTCTAATGACTTTCTAATTTCAGCTGCTTTTAGGAAGGGAGACATAAACCAGGTTTCCTCTGGCTCGTCCCGGGAAGTAACTGTGATCCCTCTGTCCCCAGGAAGCTGATCCAGAGCTCCATGAAAAGCAAGGAGCGAGCAGCCATCCTGAGCACGCAGTCCCTGGAGGCGGCGGCGATGTGTGACCGCGTGGCCATCCTGGTGTCGGGGCGCCTACGGTGGGCACTGGGTCACACCCAGCACCAGGGTGACGCCTGAGGGGGCTTGTTTGGGTTTGCTGGCTTTTTTTTTTTTTTTTTTTAATCCTTCTTAATCTAAGAGAAAATACTGGTTTGGATTGTGGCGGGCGTGTAACACGCAGTTTCCGTGCGTCTCAGCTGCTGAATGAGGGGATGCTTTATTTGCTGGTTATGGTGCTTTGAGCAGTGTTTTCCCTCCTCTGCAGGTACATTGGTTCCCCTGAGGATCTCAAAAGTAAGTTTGGCACAAGTTACCACCTAGAAATTAAGATGTCAGACCCGGAGAAAGGTGATGCTCTCCACGCCGAAATTCTGAGCCTGTTCCCCTGCGCGGCTCGGCAAGAAAGGTGAGTGGCCTGTGGGCTGCACACCAGCCTGTATTTGTGCTGGGATTCTCTGTTGCTCCCACTGACCTTGCTCAGCAATTTACCCAAACTTTGATGCCGAGTCACAAAATTATGAATTAATTTGTTTTTATTGCCTTTTCAGGACCTCTTCCTTGCTTATCTACAAGATACCAGTGGCTGATGCACTACCCCTGTCTCGGTCTTTCTCCAAGCTAGAAGCAGGTAAAAGGAAACAATCAATTGAGTAAGGAGACGGCTTTCAAATTGTTTATATGGATTTGGGTTTTAAGGATTCTTTCTCCACCCCCCTGCAGTTAAACAGAATTTCAGGCTTGAGGAGTACAGCTTGTCACTGAACACTTTGCAACAGGTATGACGATGTGGGAGTTCCAGGCTAGAAATTGCCTGTATAAAGGGAAGAAATAACCCGTGACCAGCACAAAAACTGTCAGTCCTTGGCAATGATGGGGTTGTTTCCTCTGTGCCATGTTGCAGGTCTTTATAGACATCACCAGGGATGCAGAGGAGCACGACCTGGATGCAGCATCCAACGGGGCTGTGGAGCAGAGACCCCTTCAGCCCTGACTCTTGGAGCCACAGTGAAAATATTCAGCATATTTTCATCAGCGTTGCTGACCCCTGTGACCAGCTGCAGTCCCAGAACTCGGTTACTCATTGCCACAACACATCCAGCTCTGCAGGTGTTCTGCCTCACAGAGAGAAGAAGAATTACTATTTTAATAAATAAAGCCTTTATCCTTTGACAAATTGATGCCTGATGTTCATCTGTACCCCCGCTCAGACTCACTTGTTCGTTGTGCTGAGGAATAACCCTGCTGGGATGAGTTGCTGGTCCCCAGGCAGTGAGGGAGACTGTGGCTGTGTGTGGGGGGGCTTGTTCAAACTCAGAGGAGGCTCTGCCACCTCAATCCTTCATGGCAGGAGGACACTGGGTGCTGTAATGTGGCCGTGGAGGATTTCTGGTGGAGAGATGTGTGTCTTTTGTGTTTTGACCCAAAAATCTACTGTATGTTCCAGCTCAGGTCACCTTGGCCCCTCGCTGATCCCCCACCACTGGGGACACGGAGACAGGGAAGGACTCAGCAGTGCCTGGAAAAGTGTAATGAAAACTGGCAGCTCTTGTATCATCACCCGTAAAACCCCAGTGATTACCTAGACTCAAAATGAGATGTGCTTCAACCCAAAGTAACAGTGCAGGAGGACAGCAGGCTGAACCTTGCTTTGGTCATTAAGAAGACAGGATGGGCTTCTTGACAGCATCCAGCCCTGGGGGAACTGGTGGGGGACATGGGGGCAAGCCACCAGCACCCTGACCCTGTCTGAGCAGACACCTGCCTACCAGGGCTGGCTTTAAAGAATAAATAAACAATAAAAAAAAAATCTAAATAAATAAATAGGAACTCCCTACCTCCAGGCAGCCAGGTGTTTCCTCTGGTGCCCTGTTGTCCTGTCCCCCAGCATCCTCAGCCTCAGGGAAAGGTGGGCTAGGGACCCACTGGAGAAGCCCCACAGGGGCAGTGCCATCCCATGGGATGGGCAGAGCAGCAGGACCTTCACCCATCCCCTGGTTCCTGTGGATGATGCTGGTGCTACAGGTATGGATGATGCAGGAGTGGGATACAGGCAAGGAGAATGCGGGTGGTTCTGGCAGGCAGAGATGCATGTCCAGGCACTGCAGGCAGGGATGTGGGCAAGCAGGTACCAGCAGGTGGCTGCCGTGGCTCAGAGTTGGGCTGTTGCCACCAGGAAAAATCCCCGAGGCAGCACCCACACCCCTAGAGAGCTGCTTTCCACGTGGATCTCCAAACATCAGTGCCCTGTCAAGGAGCTGGGCAGGGAGGTGTCTTTGCTTGAGGTTCACAGACTGGGAACTGGCATAGCCACCTAAGGGTTGGGGTTTTTTTTCCCTTTGAAAGGGTTTGGACATGCAGGAGATGTACTGGGGACAGGTTTTAATCTCATGCTGTGCCCCGACTTTCTGCACCTCTGCAGCTTGCCTCGCTCCGAAACATCCGAGTGTAATTTAAATCTTAGGGGTTGTTTTTTTTCCAGCCAGGCAGAGCACAGGGAAGCAAATCCAGCTTCTGCACATTTCCAAGCCCAGCCTCTGCCCCAGCTGGTCGTGCTCCCTCCCACCACGGGTCCCTCAGCTGCGCTGCTGCCGGGGATGCTGCGGTGGGTGACCGAGCTCCACAGCCTGGGGAAGGAATCAAACCCACCCCCTTTAGAAGCTCAGAGTCAGCCAAGAGAAGTTTGTTTCAATGTTTACAACGTGTTTTTTAATCAGAAGAGCTGTTGCTATCCCGGTGGCAGCACTTCACTGCTCCTCCTGCTCCGGGGATGGTGGCACTGGAGCAGTTTTCCAACACAACCTTTGCCATTCGGAGAGGAGGGAGAGCCACTGTTTACCCCCCTGCATGTGCCGTGATATCATTGACTTCAGCCTCTCTTGCTGCGCTGGGAAACACAATGGAGTTTGCCAGAGAAAGGATTTTTGTGTGGTTTGTTGTTGGGCTTGTTTTTCCTCCCTTGGCCGAGGCTCAAGAATTTCCCGAACAACTTTTCAGAGAATCCGCTCCAGCCGCTCAACAGCAAAGTGCTCTGTTTGCTTTTTATAATACAGATAAAGCTGAAACTCTGCCAAGGAGGAAAGGGGAAGAAAGCCAGGGAAGAGAGAAGTGATGGTGTGAGGAATGCCTTTTGCAAAGTGCCTGAGTGAGAAAAGGATTGTGTGGACAAAGGAGCGCTGAGAGCCGCCAGTCCATCCCAGGGAGCCTCAGCATCTCCACTTCCACAGGCACACGGTGAAGGACAAGCTCTGGATCCCTTCCAAACCTTCCCCTTAAGGTAAGACTTTAACATTCTTCCTAAAGCAAATTTAAAAAAAAAAAAAGTTATTTTAAAGGTATGAAAACATCCAGTAAATTATGATCCCGTTAATAATACTGGGAAAGGATACAAATGTGTAGGTGGGGCACTGGTCATCTTTGTAACAGGCTGAGTTAAGCTTGTGGTTAGGTTTAAGGGCTGTTTAAAGGCAATAGAATGTTTTTAGCCTTACTTTGAGATGAAATAACACACAAACAGAGCTCAGTGTACGGCAGAGGTTTATTTCCACTGTTTCTTGGCACTAAGAGGATGCTGTAGGTTCATCTCAGCACTTTAATCCAGCACTTACAGGGAGCAGATTTCTTTCCCTACATGCAGTGTAAGCTAAAGGCTGAATTTTAAAAGCCCTGACCATCTTACACTCTTAAAAATTTCCCCTGAAATACTTCAGGAGAAAAGAAATCACTGCTACCTCACTTCCCCAAACTCTGCAGCCTTGGGGTCAGACAGCACTGAGGGTTGACACGTGGGATAACCGTGATGGGAGCCTGGTGTGCCAGCTCTCCATCCCACCCAGGATCTCCTGAGTGTGTCAGCTTGTTGAGGTTACTCCATGTGAGTATCAGAACAGAGGGCAAACTGGAAACCTGCTTTAGCTGCGACACAAAGCCCTTGCCAGGGTGGCAATGCCCACAGGTGATACGCAGCATCCAGCACCTCCCTTCTGCTGGGTGGCAAAGTGACCACGCAACTGCAGGTTTTACTTTGGTTTCCCCGAGGAAGTCTAGAAGTTACTAGGGCAGGCTAAAATCAGATTTTTATACATCTGGATTTGTAAAGTGAGATCACGTGCAAGAAAACAAATCTATCCAGAGATGCTGGCAAAGGAGCAGATTCCTGCCCCCGAGCCGTGCCCGTGCCCTGTCCTGCTGTGCCAGTGCAAGTGTTTGTTTGCAGTGTGTGCCCTGGGAAGGCCATTTGTTGCAGCTGCTTTTTCCAGCATTTCAGTGCCTGCTGTGTCATTACTCGGGGATGTTCCTCTCCCAGGGGCTGAATGTAAATATTTGGAAGAAGATGATAAACTCCCTCTTGCCTGTCAGCACCGTGAGGCATCATCCCCCAGGGGAGCAGGAGAACACAAATCTCCCTTCAGTGTGACAGGGAGGCTTGAAAGGATTAGATCTATAAGCTGCTCTGGTATTTCTACCTGAGAATCACTTACAGAAGACAAGGATCTTGTTGGAAAGCAGGTTTTAGCTACAGATGTGACAGCAGAGCAGTTTGGCTGTGTGAGTGGAGCTGTTTCGCACAGGGGTACTCAATTCTTTCGCTCATTAAAGGCACTAATAAATATTTTACTCACGGTTAATGTGCACATATCTCATCTGCAAAGCAGTCTGACAGCCAGCTTTATGCCTTCTCATTGCAGCTTCCACCACCAGCACTAATCCAGGCAAAAAATCCTTGGTTTTTTTGGTGGTTTATTTTTTTGTTTTGTTTTGTTTTTTTGTTTTGTTTTGTTTTTAAATCGAGTCTTTTTAAGGGTGCTGCCACATCTTTTGGAGCAGCACACAGATGCATGCTCACAGCTACCTGTTTTTCTCTCCCTTTTCATTAATATCCCAGCACTGACATCTCTCTCCCAACTCACTTCCAAGAATTTGTTCTCTGATGGCTCCGAGTTGCCTTCGACTGATGCTGTTTTCCAAATGAGCTCAGCTCACACCACAGCCAGGAGTTGCTCAACCCTTCTCGGTGCTGAGCCTGTAGCAGATTAAAATTACATGCAAGGGGGTTTTAGTGACTTTACTTGACTGTGTTGTTGTCATTCCTTGGATATGAAGCCCACCCAAGCCAATTAGGGTCATGTAGCATGGCGTTCCCTTTTTTTATGTCTTAAATAACTCCTCCCAAAACTCACCCTGCCACAGCATGGAATTCTGGTTATAAATCAGTGTTTGCTGCTGAGCTGGGAGGGCTGGAGTGTGTTGAGGGTGACGAGGTCTCCTGGACCCTGTGCTGCGGGGGTGGCTTGTGCTCAGCACACAACATCTGAGATGCTTCAGCTCTCATTTTTGCTGTGAAAAGGGAAAGAAAGTGTCACTGGGCACATCTGCCAGGACTGGGCAAATAAAAGCAGTCTCTGCTGTTTCAGAAAGTAATTTTTAAAAAAATATTGTCAGTAGGTTCAGAGATGAAGACACTGCAGAGAAAGATGAGCGTATTCCAGCAAACGAAAATTCTCTTGTGGAAAAATGTCCTTCTCAAGTGGAGGATGAAGATGCAGAGCTTTCAGGTAAGAAAAAAAATTAAAAACAATAATTAAAAAAAGAGCAGCTAAGCACTGTGGGAGTGCCCAATCCCTGCCTGCCCCTGGACACCAACTTCTTTGGGTAAAACCAGAAGTTAAAGTACCTTTTTAAAGCCTGACTGGTAGTGAACACTTTGAGACTTTAATTTTTTTAACTGATGACTTTTATGCCAGGTTTGTGACACGTGAGAGCTCAGGTGGGCCCTTTGAGCAGAGTAATTTCCTGAGGTGCCTGATGGGCACAATGCAGAGAGTCTCGACATCTCCCTCAGCATCTCAGGAACCAGAGTGCCCGGGTGTCTATTTTAATCCCACAAAGAACGTGCTCCTACCCTGCTGTATTTCATATGTTATTAAATTCTCCTCCCTGCTCTCTCCCCCGTGCCCAGGAGTGGATGCTGTCCCTGCTCTTCCTGCCCTTGCTGTTCATCATGACCTACCTTATGGTCAACATCCAGCACCCCGAAGTGCCCTTCAGCTACCTCGGGCAGTTGGATGATCCTGCCTACAATGCCACCGGGGTCACCGTGGCTTTCACACCCACCACTGCCACCACCAGGCAGATAATGAATAAAGTGGCCTCCAACTCTGTCATGAGGGGTAGGTTTTGCTTTTTAAATGTTGAGTTTTGTCATTATTTAGCCCCTGGCGCCTACATTGTGCTTTGGTGGCTCCCCAGAATCTTTGGTCAGGAGAGAAAATTCACCCCCAAATCCTCTATTTTCACAAATATCCCTTCCCTAGTATTTAAATTACTGGTGAGGCTGGTGTGTTCTTCTGAACTGTAAAACTCTGCCTTACCTGATATTCCCTCATTCCTTTAAGGCATTTGAGACATTCATTCCTTTGAGTTGCATTTCTTAGCTGGCAAAGCACAAAGTATTTTAAGGTAAATATCTCAGTGAGAACTGGAAAAAGAGAAGCTGAAATGGTGAAAAAGCAGAACATACCCCCAGTGCCCGTGAACACGTTTCCAGACTTACAGAAACTCATTGCAATGTTATTCTTACACTCAACAGGTATAAAACTGGAGGCACTGGACAGTGAGAACGCCCTGGAAAAAGCCTGGATTTCAAATAATGAAATTATAGGGGTTGTATTTAAGGACAACTTCTCCTATCACCTCAGGTTTTGTACTGGAAATATGATTATTCCCAATGAAGTCTTTGGATACGTAGGTAATACAAAATGAGAATTCTTGGGTGGGTCATTGCCTGGCACGGACAGGCACCGTTCTGTCAGAATAATCCATATATGTTCAGTGATTTAATAAACCGGGGGGGTTTGTTTGTTTGTGGGGGTTTTTTTTGTCTGTGTGTTACTGCCCATTTGAAGAGTTTCCCATAGTGCAAATGTATTATTTTCATCCCCTTTTGTAGTGAAAATCAACTCCTTCTCACTGCTCTTACCTGTGATGCCCTTGACCTTGCAGACACCTGTTACAATTTCTCGTCGGGGCACTGTGACAGCCCAAGGTACTGGTACAAAGGCTTCCTGTCCCTGCAGTCCAGCATTGATGCTGCTATCATAGAGGTAAATCCAACCTGGGATCTGATGTAGGAACATGCTTTCATTTTAAACTTGGCACAGGAAAGGCAAACTGCACTGTGGGAATAGCAAGGGGTGGGTTTGTCGGAAAATAAAGCTGCCTCAAAAAGCTGATCTGGAGGGGATGAATCAGAAGGATCCTTATATAAATACATCTCACTGTAGAAAATTAATGAAATACTGACAGGCTGACCTTGAATTCCTTTAGGTGGTAGCAAATCATTCTGTTTGGGAAGAAATGAATTCAATTGCTGGAGTCCGAATGAAGTCCCGGAGCACCATCTTCACAATTACACTTGAGTACAGTTTCTTCATGATCACTATCGTGATGTGTTTCTTTCCCTTCATGTATTTCTTATCAATGAATGTTACAAGAGAAAAGAAGAAGCTCAAGGAACTGATGAAGACGATGGGGCTGCAGGATATTGCGTTTTGGTGAGTTCTTTCGCAACTAAAGTACGTCTGCCAAAAATCCAGGGCACTTGTGCAGTCAGGTAATAAGTTAAATGAGTTCATAAGTTTTCTCCAGCACTCTAAGGGCAAACCAGAGGGTTGAGCATAGCAGTGGTGTACCCTTCTCCCGTGGGTATTTCCTCCTAAGGTGGATCGTGCTCTGTGCTCTACCTTGGGATGTAAAAGAGTTGACCATGGGAAATAAAATTAATATTTAAATTTAAAACAGTTCTGACGCGGCAGATGGAGTTGTAACAACAGTTCTTAATTAACCAGAAGTATAATGGCCCCTTTCCATCCCCAGGCTCTCCTGGAGTCTGCTGTATTCTCTCTATGTGTTGATCTTCTCCTGCCTGCTGACGGCCCTCGTGCTGCGGAACCCTTTTTACATCAGCAGCTTCCCTGCGGTCTTGCTGCTGTTTTTCCTCTATGGCCTGGCATGTGTAAGTCAGGCTTTAAAGCCAGATTTTCCCACCACATGATTTATCACCTTGTTGATGTGCTGAGCTATTACTCCAGAGCTTTTTGCACAGTGCTTTGCACGGCCTTGCTGACTGAAACAGCTCAGTGGCTCCTTTGACTCAGCAGCAGTGATTTGATTTGCAGCCTGCAAGTCTGACAGGCAGTGGGTTGGCTACACAAAGCCTGATTTGAAACTCAGATCAACCCACTAAGAAAGACTTCATTGTATTGTATTAACTCACCAGAGATCTGTTTGCCTGGCAAGCGGATGCGCTGCCGTTGAAGATATTTATTTCCTTCAGTGATTGAGGGAAACCTCTGTTCTTACAGATCCACCTGGTTTTCCTCCTCTGCTCCCTCTTAAGGACCTCCAAACTTGTCAGCTCCATCGGGTTCCTCATCACCTTTATCTTTGGATGCCTGAGCCTGGCATTGCTGATAGAAAACGTTCCTGAACCACTGAAGTGGTTTCTCGGTCTCTTCTGCCCTTTCGCATTTAACGCGGGCATTGCCGAGGTAAGGGCCCCACCTCTGCAGCTGAACCATCCCCTGCTGGCAGGGAAAGGTGTGGGAAGGCACCTCCTCATTTCAAAAGTCCAGCTGCAAAAATCTCCAGGTATTTTCACCCGTACCCACGCCCTGTTTTGAAACCTCCCCGCTACCTGAGCTGCTGTTGGGCAGCAAAGAGGGGCTCCAATGCCCCCATCCCGTCCCACTGTTTTAAAAGCAGATGAACGCACAGGCAACACGGCCCTGGTCACAAAAAACCTGCTGTTGTCCACTTCTGTCCCTTGCCCATGACCCTGAGGAGCCCATCCCTGCACACAACAGCACCATTATCCTCGGGGCTGGGCCCAGGCGGGCAGGAGTCGGCTCGGGGACATCAGGGACATCATCTCTTGGCTGCCCCATCATTCTCCTCTCACTGCACCAGCTCTTCCTGGCAGCAGACACCATGCAAATACAACTGGAGATTGCTGCTGCTGCTGCCATCCTCCCTCCATCCCCACTTTGTGCAGCCGCCCAGTTTTCCGTCAGTCGTATCTCCATAGCTCTTAGTGATGTTTTCTGGCTCCAGCAGTCTAAGATTTGATTTCCTGGTATAAATATTAAAAAGCATCTGCCTGGGAGAGGAGATTTATGCACCAGCAGAAAAGGAGACTGAATTTGCTACTAATTTACCATACGGTTAAATCAGTCACCATGTAAAGTTATACCATTTTCATCGTGACTCTGTCACATCAAGGGTGACAAAATCACATTTCTTGAATGATTTCCTCTAAAACTCTGATATTTGTTTCTGTTTCTGGATTGTTCTGGAAAAATCTGGATTAAAACATTAAGAGCTCTGCACGGAGCAAATTTATCCCCTTAAATTTATTTCCCTCTAGAAAGTAAGAACAATTGATCGGTACTGCAGATGATTTCCAGGTTAATAAAGACAATTGTATGACGGCATGTGCATCATTTTCCAGCCTGAAAGTTATTCTTCTTTGTCCTTTTTTTTTTTTTTTTCTCTCAGATTTTCCATTTGGAAAAATATCGAATGGGTTTCTCTTTTTCCAACCTTATGGAGGAAGCCTACTTTTTATTTTTAACTTACATTATGCTGGCCTTTGATTCAATCTTGTACATGCTGTTGGCTCTGTATTTCGACAAAGTTCTGCCAGGTAGGTCTGATTTATGTTTATGGTCCTATTTTCTCCTTAACACTTTATATTTATATGGATTGCATGGGATATATCAAGGAAATGATGGGCTGCTCTGAGTCAGCCAAAATAGGGTTTGGTTTTTGACTGTTCTGCCCCTGGCAAATGCAAAACTCACAGAATCAAAGACGACACAGTATTTAGTGTTTTTATTTTCTATTTATGCTGCTGTTGAACTGTTTATGAGACTACAGTGTAATAACACGTGGGACAACATTTTAAGTCATGACACAAATTGTTGAATTCATAAACAAACCCCTGAAGCCAAACTTCTTGTCTCTTCTACCCCACCCCCACCGTCCAAACCTGACGTCTTTTTAACTGGACAAAGTACCAGTTTTGAGGCAGCCAAGCACTCGTTAGAACCTCCTAAATGTTTAATCTTGGATGGTGCTTTGGTTAATGGCAGGGCATCTTCTTTGCTTTCCTGGCAGGCAAATATGGCATTCCAGACCCCCCTTTCTTCTGCCTGAAACCCTCCTACTGGATGAGGAGCAGGAGAGGTTCCACCAGGGAGACCCCCAGATCCACAGCCAGCCCCGAGGAGCTCCTTGGTGATGATGTAGAGCCAGTGCCCCCTGAATTCAGGGGCAAGGAGGCCATCAGGTTAGGAGAGAATTAGCTGCTATTCACGCTTACTGAACTGGGTACTTGGGTTTAACACTCTGCAGATCCCAGAGCCTTCCCAGAGCTTGGGTTTGACTTATCCAGGCAGCTCTCATGTTTGTGAGGCTCTTGTAGAAACACTTTGTTTCACAGGCAAATAATTAGAGATAAAATGCAGATGAGATAATTAGGTAATTCAGACCAGTCACTAATGGTGAAATTTAGATAAATTCATAAAAAATAATTGGTTTGGTTTTGTTTGTGGGTTTTTTTGTTTGGTTGGTTTGTTGTTGTTGTGGTGGTGGTTTTTTGTTTGTTTGTTTGTTTTGCTATGGACTTTAAATGTTCTTTAGGGACAGAAACCCACTGGAAATCTGTTGCAACGGGTTTGGCCTTGTCCTTGCAAGGCTTGGTGCCCCATTACTGGTGCCAGATAGTGACACTCACACCTGAGCAGAGAGGATGTCAAGCCTGTGGATCTCAGGGTTGTTTCCCTGTATCTCTTATTATTTTTTGTGCCATTTCTGTCATTTTAACTGAAGGCCCACAAAAATGTAAAGGGAAATGCATTTAGAAATCCCAAATTAATAACCTCCTTTCTTTTCTTTAGACTCCACAGTATTAAAAAAACCTATAAAAAGAAGGACAAGAAGACAGAAGCTTTAAGAGGTAGGAAAACTGTGATATTGATTTCTGTTAAAGATGAGGGGAAAAAAAAAACAGTTTTGCACAAACATTTCAGTCAGTCAATGAAATAAAACACCTGCATTACTTGGAAACTTATGTCAAATATTAATTAATGTGATTTATTACCATTTTGTTCAGTTTTTACTGAATCTTCCATCTTTAATAAGACTAAAGGGAAGAAAGATTTGTTTAATTGTTGTATTTCTGTCTTTTCTGCTAAATTCAGAGCAACTTCTTAAGCCTTTAGTTAAAGTTTTGCAGAGCTTCACCCTACATTGCTTAATGCACTTTTAGCTAATTAGTGTCTCTTACTTCTTCTTGTACTTCTTGACTTCTCCTGACTTTGGCAATAAGTGGAGGCAAGTCAGACCTCGTTTCTTCCCAGCTTGATGTTGTTTCCATTCTAGGTTTGTCTTTAAATATTTATGAGGGGCAGATCACTGCCTTACTTGGCCACAGTGGGGCTGGAAAGACAACGCTGTTGAACGTGCTCAGTGGGCTCACCTTCCCCTCAGAAGGTGAGATGGAAAATGGTGGGATGGGCTGGCCTCGACTCAAAAGCTGGAAATACCAGCTCACTCCACCTCATCACCTGTTTATTCCTGTAAACAGGCTCTGCCACCATATACAACTACAAACTCTCCGAAATAGGAGACAGGGAGCAGATTAGGGAGATGATTGGCATTTGCCCCCAGTTCAACAGCCAGTTTGAAGTCTTGACTGTGAAGGAAAACTTGAAAACTTTTGCAGAAATCAAGGGCATCAAGCCCAAGGAGGTGGAGAGAGAGGTGAGTGTGTGCTCCCCTGCAAGGCAACAGCATGGGGCTGGGGGAAACCCCATAATTCCACAAAGGGTCCTTTCGCATGGGGAAGATCAAAAGATCCACTTGGATGTCATGTCTTCTGAAAATTGAAGCTCAAAACCTCATCCCACCCGGCCTTGGACACTTCCAGGGATGGGGCAGCCACAGCTTCTCTGGGCAACCTGTGCCAGGGCCTCAGCATCCTCCCAGGGAAGAATTTCTCCCTGATATCTAGTTTAAATTTACCCTAATAAAGGATGGAAGGACAACTGCTGCTGAGAATGGACATCCTTGTGCTGTTCTAGGTGCAAAACGTTTTGGAACTGCTGGATATCAGTAACATTCAAGACACTCGAGCTGAGAAACTGAGTGGTGGGCAGAAAAGGAAGTTATCTATTGGAATAGCCATGCTTGGAAACCCCCAGGTAAAGCAGCAGGCACAGCTCTGTAATATAGGGAATATTCAGGTCCAACACTACTAAAACCTCGTCCATTTATTTGACTAAAAGTTATTAAAATTAATAAATTAAATGATTTATTTTTTTTAAATTCACAACCCACCCTGCTAGTGTAGTTTTGAAGCAGACAGAGACATCCCTGACCTCATACAGCTCCCAGGACAGCAGCCCTTGCACGAAAGGTGACCTGGGTGTCTTGCCTGTGGGACCTGAGGCTTCCAGGACACCAAACCCGAGGGATGTGCAGCTGCTCCAGCGATGAGGAATGCCTGATTTCATCCCCTCTGCAGGTTCTGCTCCTGGACGAGCCAACAGCTGGGCTGGATCCTCTCTCCAGGCACCAGGTGTGGAGCCTCCTGAGGGAGCACCGGGCGGGCCGGGTGATCCTGTTCAGCACCCAGTTCATGGACGAGGCCGATATCCTGGCAGGTGGGCAGGGGCTCAGCCCGGGGCACCTCTGCAGGACAGCCCTGGAGCAGAAAGGCAGTTGCCATAAAAGCTCGGACTGACTGCTGTGCCCTGTGAACCCCTTTGGCTTTTCCTTGCTTCAGACCGCAAGGCTTTTATCTCGCACGGGAGGCTGAAGTGTGTCGGTTCCTCGCTGTTCCTGAAGAAAAAATGGGGGATTTGTTACCATTTAAGGTACCTACTTGAGCTCCATGACCTGATATCTGGGGGATACCAGAAGTAATGCAAATGGTAGAGCAGGTGTCATCAAAACAAACAAATTAACTGAATTAATAGTCAGTTAAATTATCTAAAACAGCACTTTACCCCAGGGTAGGGAAGGAATTAAGTATTCTGGAGTTTTCTTTTATCCATCCTAGCAAATAATAGGGTGGCTGTTGTTTGTTTGGGTGGGTTTTGGTGGTTTTCACTCCAAAACTAAGCATCTGTGTTTCTTCAATCCAACAGGATCCATGTCAGTGAGTCCTGTGACTTGGAGAACGTGACATCCCAGGTTAAGCAGTACATCCCCAACGCCACCTTCTCAGGACACAGCCAGTATGAGCTGAGATATAAACTGCCACTAGAAAACGTGAATAGGTTCCCAGGTAATGTGTGCTAAAATAACTGAGAATCAGCAATAGAGAAAAAAATGATCACAGCTGTGGGGAAAGCGAAATGAAAAGGGAGATTTTCTACAGGGGTCACATCAGGACTCCAGAACTGTTCCATTTTGGGTTTTCCACACAATTTTATCATCTGTGTGTTTAAGATCAAGCTGTGCAATAAATGCTTCTCTACTGCTTGTAATGACAAACCCAGCAGGCTAAACTGTGTTACTGAGAGTTCAGTTTTCTTGCTGCTACGTGAAAAGGCTCAGCTGAACCAAAGTGACCTGGAGACACGTGCTCATGCCCTTGTTTTATCTCTGTCCTGCAGATCTGTTCAGTGGCCTGGACAGCTGCTCTGGGGAGGGCATTATCAATTATGGGGTCAGCATGACGACCCTGGAGGATGTCTTCCTGAAACTGGAGGGAGAAGACACGGCGGACCAAGAAGGTACAGTGGTGGCTGTGAACGTACAACCCGCAGCCAAAACAATCAGCTCCTCTGAGATAACTCCTGCACAGGCCTCCAAGGGTGGCTCTTAAATTTTCATGAATTGCAACACAGAGGGTGTTCTTAGACATGAATGTGGGGGACTCTCTGCAGGTGAGCACGTCCTCGGGGACGAGTGGGCAGAGGCAGGATCACGAGGCACCGACGGGACCAAGTCGGGCTCCCTCCTGCTCTCGGACGCTGGGAAGGTGACAGTGGATGGCCTGGCCCTCTGGAGGCAGCAGGTCTCTGCCATGGCATGGGTGCACTTCTTAAAGCTCAAGAGTTCGGTGACAAACCTGCGGTCAATGTAAGTAGCACAGCGAGTGTCCCTCGGAGATCTGGAACCGGGCACGACCACACTCGGGGGGACAATTTCTACACCCCTGTTCTGATGGAGTTTGGATTAACTGGTGTCAGGTCTCGGGCATGAATAATCTGGGAAATCTGCACTCAGAGGAGAGGAAAGCTTCTTCCTTTCCAGTGCCAGTAACACAAAATCTCCCTTTTGTGCACTTCATTTCTGTATGAATAATTTATGTAAGAGAAATGCATTTTCTTTCTGAAGAAAAGAATCATTCAGAAACACTTTGTATTTCAGATGGAGGAGGAGGTTTCAAAACAAGCTAGTGTGTACAGAGAGTATCTTCAGACTTCCCCTGCAATTTTTTTTAAACTCCTCTAGTGTTGCCACTGCCTGATTTGGCCCCGTTGGTGTTCAAGCTGTCATTTCCTGGTGGAGCACAAGAAAAACCTGTATCTAAAGGAAGTCTGAAAGGCATTTCATGGCCCTAAAAAGTTGAGCACTCCAGATCTGAGGTCCTCTCCCTCCTAAATTTTGAGTGTCTTGGTGAATGATCAAGGCTTGAGACTTCTGGAAACAAAATTCTCCTCTCTGGTGACCAGTGACAGGACCCAAGGGAATGGCTGGAGCTGTGCCAGGGCAGGCTCAGGTTGGATCTCAGGGAAAGGCTCTTCCCCTAGAGGGTGGTTGGCACTGAACAGGCTCCCCAGGGCAGTGGGCACAGCCCCAAGGCTGCCAGAGCTCCAGGAGGGTTTGGACAACGCTCTGAGAGGCAGGGTGGGATTGCTGGAGTGTCTGTGCAGGGCCAGGAGCTGGGTTTCACAGTTACTGTGGGTCCCTTCCAACTCAGGATATTCTGTGATTCTGTGATTTTCACCAGAAAGAGTTTTGGGTAACCTGAATATCACCCACTGTTTCCAACACACAAATGCGTTTCTGCTGAACATCTGGTTTCAGAGTGTTTATTCATCTCTTTCTTGATGCAGTTTGCTGCTCTATGTGATTTTTCTGCTTCCTGTGGTTTTGCAACTGTCCTTGGTTGCTGGCTGGATGAGTGTGAGTTCCTGGGAGCTCTCATCTGCACGGTACTTCCTGCCCCTGGGGAAGAAATCCTACCTGGAGACGACCACCCTCCTGGTCATCAACAGCACAGGTGAGCCTTTCCTCATCCTTCCCTGTTCTGGGGCTGCTTCTTATTCTGAAGAAAAACACCTGACAGAGCAGTGGGTTGTAGGGTGTAGGGGATCTAAGGAGGGTTGAAGGTTCTTGTGGCAGAAGAGCAGGGGAATTGTCTTTGAAGGGTTGTGAAGGAAACCCACTTTGGCTTCAGCAGCTGGTGAGGTCCTGATGCAACATGTGAAAAGAGTCAAAGGCCCTTTTGTTTTTCAGTATTATGATTGCTCTGCTTTTGGCCTTCACACCAGGCACAGGCATTGACAGCTTCATCCACGTGCTCCAGAGCCAAGACCTTATGGTGGAAATAACGAGCGAGGACAGTATCGCCGAGGAAATGAAACACAACGGGGCCATAGCAGTGTATCTCAAAGATCAGGTGAGGATTTGTCTTCTCTCCCTCCAGTTCCTTCCCAACAGTTGAATAATAAAGCAAGATGCCTCCATCAGCTCTCCCTGTGGGATGGCCTGGTTGAATAAGGCCCACAGGTACAAAGATTGGAAAGTGTTTAAAGTAGTAAAGCACACGCTAGAGGAGGCTTTATCTCCCTCACCCTCTGCCTCAAAATTTACATTTTTCTAGTACAGACTTCCAACACCTCATAACTTGTTTTTTAGCAAACAAGGGCACAAACAAAATCATTCCAGGCCTGGATTCTCCCCGTGTGCTCCTTTCCCACTGCCTCCCTGCTGATGAGAAAAACCTGAAGTTTTCATCTTGTTTCCTTGCTCTTTGAAGAGCTACAGGTTCACCGTGTTGTGCCACTTGGAGGCCGTGAACTGCTTCCCCGTGCTTGTGAACATCATCAGCAACGCCCTGCTGAGAACCCTCAACTCCACCGGGCGCATCCGCATCTGGAGCCACCCTTTTTTCCCTGTAAGCGAAGCCAGAAGGGGTCAGAGCAGTTTAAGGTCTCAGTAAGCCCTCAGGTTTTAAGGGGGAGCTGTGCAGGGCTGTCTGTGCCTGTAAACCCACTGGTGGCTGTGGAGCCACCGCGTATGACATCAGGAAAACTGAAGTTCATTTTTCCCTTGTGGGTCTTGATCAGGGAGGGTGGCTGGGAAGGCTTCTCCAAGAGGTACCTTATTCCCTACATCACATTTTTCAAGCTGTGGCCCATCAAAGAGAGCTCATCCCAAGCCTGGGATGGAGGGGTAGGACCTTCACCATCCATCTCTCCTCAACAGAGGCAAGCACTTTGCAGGGCTATGGTTTGGGAAAACCCTCGTCCTGCCACTGTCTGGTTTCAAATCCCACTTTTTGTTCACAGTGCCCGGTAATCCACGAGAAATGCAGTAAGATGAATGGTTGCATTCCACTGCAGACCATTTTCTACAAACGTTTTTTTCTTCTGTTTTCAGCTCAACTATCAACCATACTGGGATTATTTTATTCCATTTTACCTCGTTTATATGGTGTTGTTATTCCCTGGTTTTCCTCCTCACTTTGCAATGGGCTACACGCAGGACTACAAGGTAAATTCCTTGAAAAGGAGCGGATTTGGGGTGGGCAGAAGGGGCTGCAACTGCACTGGCACAAGGATGATTGAATATAGAAACAGAGCATCATTTAGGCTGGAATAGAATCATGGAATCATTTAGGTTGGAGTAGAATTATAGAATCATTTAGGTTAGAATTGAATCATAGAATCAGTTAGGTTGGAGTAGAATTATAAAATAATTCAAGTTGGAACAGAAGCACAGAATCGTTTAGGTTGACTCCAAGGTCACTGAGTCCAACCATGTGATGGGCAGCTCGCAGTGTTTTGACCTGTGTTGCCATGAGCAGCTTTGCAGCCAGCACAAAGTGTGAAAAGACAAAAAGAGGTCGAATTTTATTCGATTTTTATTACCTTTTTATTTCCTGGGGCCATTCCCATGGCACTGACAGCAAACTCCCCTTTGGGTTGTGCCTTCCCAGGTGGGAGCTCGTGACCACCTGAGGGTCTCGGGGCTCTTCCCCTCAGCCTACTGGTGTGGCCAGGCACTGGTGGACATCCCACTGTGCTGGATCCTGCTCTTCTCCATGTTTGGGCTCCAGTTTGCCTTGAGCAACAAGATTTCTTGGACCATCAGCAGCTTCTCACTGGTAAGTCCTGTTCTGGTGATTGCTGGTTCCCTGGGGAGGGATTGGGGGAATACCTGGAGCAGGTGTAGGGGCAGCTGAGACACCTCTGGGTCCTCTTACTGACATCCTATCATTTGGATTTCTCCAGCAGGAAACAAAAGGCAATAAATCTTGCTTTAGTATGTTCCTTTACACCTCACAGTAAAATTGGGGTAATTACTAAATGGCCTTAAGATATGATCATTTACACCGAGCCCCATTGCTGTGTATGGGTTTCTGATGGTTTAGGTCACTCCATTTTCTCCAGTGAAAGCCCTTTTTTTTTTTTTTCTGCAGGTCATGGGGACGTTGGGTTATGGGATTTCTCTCGTTCTCTTAAGCTACTTGATCTCCTTCAACTCTCGCAAGGGGTGGAACTGCGACCTTTGGTCTTTTATCCTGATAGTGGTAAGCACATGGCGGGATAACCAACTGCAGGCTTTAAACGAGGGTGTCTTGAGATCTTAAGGATGAACTGGATGTCAAATCACCCTCCCCACCAGCTAAGTTACCCTCTTGTTTTGTTTTCAGGTGTGCCTTATCTCTCTTTTAATCGGCAGAGTCATGGATTTTTCAAGCGACCCTCGGAACTCCCTCTACATTCTGTCCCTCTTGATTCCCGTGTACCCCCTGCTGGGGTTTGTGATCCAGCAGGTAAGTGGTGCTGCTGAGCAAGGACATAAAGCATAAAACACAACTGTGGGCCCTTGGGAGCAAAGTCTGGGGAGGTTCATTCTGGATGGGATTTCCCAAATGGACTGAATCCATTGTTAAATAACCTCCTCAGGTCAGGTCTCGTTTTTCCAGCTGTTCATTAAGGGCTGGGGGGTCCTTCTCAGGCTGCATTATGGGTTTCATTGTGTTTGTTTTTTTTGTTGTTGTTGTTCTTACAGGCTTTTATGGAAGACACTGTCGTGACTTCTGGCAACGATGCACTAGTCGCTGTCTTTGCAGTAAGAAAACATTGAACAATACTTTTATATAGGAATGTGGGTCTCCTCAGCCCCCCCAGATTATGAGGAAGCAGGAAAAACCCTGAGCTCATGTCATGCAGGAGGAGGATCTGGGTGGGTCTGTGCTGAAATAACCTCACGCCTTTGAAATGGGAAAGGGAAAAGGGAATACACCCAGATCACTGTTATTCCATGAACTGGGGCTCTTCCCTGCCCTTAGTATTTCCTGCAGTGTTGGTAAGTGATAACAGAGTTCACAGCCTTCAGGACTACTCTGAGTTTAGATGGTAATGGACTTCATTTGCACACACACTGTTTTCCCACGTATTTGGTAACGCTGCCCTCTCCTCAGTGCAAGCTGCAGTAGGAGGGAAGGCAAGGCTGTTAATGTGGCAACCTCTTTTATTTCAGCCCTATGTCCATTCTGTGGCTTTCATTTTTCTCCTTCGCTATTTGGAGTTAAAATACGGAAGATCAGTTCTGAGAAAGGACCCAATATTTAGGTTTGTATCAGCACACCTGCCCCACAGGCACATGTGAGATCCAAACTTCTCGATTGCCCTTGTGTCCTTATTTTTAAATAGGGTTTTTATTTAAATAGTGATGATTTTTTAATGAGTAAAATAGCCCCTTAAATACCACAGTGCTGTGATAATGTAAAACAGCTCTCAAGCTTTTAAGTACCTCCACATGATGTTGTCTGTGCTCTGGGATGTACCAGCTTGGTTCTTTGCACAACACAGAAATATTATAAATATTTTATTATAATAATAATGATAATGATGATGATAATAGCACTAAAATAAATAATTAAAAAGTACAAGGAACACTGAATCAGAGGGACATTCACTCTAGGTCTCTCCAAAATGCATTGGTGGAGAAACAAGGTAAAGAACAAAATCCTAAGACAAATCTGGTGGGTTTTCAGGATTTCCCCAAGAAGAGAAAGAAGCCACCAGCACCCCAAGGAGCTGGAAGAGGAAGATGAAGATGTTAAAGCTGAAAGAGAAGCAGTGAAAAATGCCATAGCAGCTCCGAGCCAGGACGAGGTACAACTGAGTGTTGTCCTTCTTGTTTTGTTTTATTTTATACCCGGTAAAACACAAACCACCAGCTGTCAACTAGAGCAGGTCAGTGGTCTGGCTGTGTTGTTCTTACTGGGAAAATAAAACTCGCCAAAGTACAGTGTGGGTTCCATCAGGGTAGAAGAGAAAGTTGTTCAGGGGAACATGGACAATAAAGCGTCCTGTGGCACCTCATATTCCTGGTGAACTCTAAAAAGAAGATCTTTAAAAGGTTTTCTAGCTCTTTAATGGAAATATAATACTGAAGTATTAATGATATCCAAGATAATAAACTGATCTTGCTTCTTCCTCTTCTCCTACAGAAATCAGTCATTATAGTCAGCAATCTGTGCAAGGAATACAAAATAAAGCAAGCTGGTTCTGTTTTTAAGAAGAAGAAGAAAACAGCCACCAAGAATGTTTCCTTCCATGTTAAAAAAGGTGAGAACTGGGGCTGTTCTCCCAGACCTGTTTTGATCACACCCAGAGAGTTAATTCTCTGCAGGTTCTCAGTTATCTGAGCAAGGACATTAAGGACAAATGTATTTGCTCAGTCATTGAGGCATGTTTGGTCTGGGGTTGATGTGTTAATGAACCATGTGATGGGCATCCATCCTATTAGTTACCTTTGACTATCCATTATCTAAAATAATGTAGATACTGAAGAGAGGGTCCCGTTTTAGCAGTGGCTTCTGGGCTCAAAGTTCAGATTTGCAGCATCAGCTAGAGTTGGAATGTTGTGGGCTCTCAGAGCATGTATTGTATAAAATAAAATAGTTTATTTTACATGATCTTTGATATTATATTCTGTCCTTTACGTTTTTTCTCTTGGGGGACTGTGATATATTTCTTGGATGGAGAGTATTCTTGAGAAATGACATGTATTGGTTCCAGGAGAAGTATTAGGACTTCTGGGGCCCAACGGAGCCGGTAAAAGCACAGCTATCAAAGTGATTACTGGAGAGACAACCCTGACTGCTGGGCAGGTAGGAGACATCTGGAGAAAAAGGGATGGATCCATGATAAAAGAGCAAAACTTGCACCTAAGCTAAGCTATAACTTTCGCCATAGTGATCAAGGTTTTAACTTCGTGCTGATGAATTGAATAACGTATAAATAAAAAATATTGTGAGCCGCTTGTAATTTTGACAAGCGGTTGCATCTACTCTAATTGGCCACGTTTATATTTAAAAACCATGCAAATGAGGGTTTTGAAATCACTCCTTGAGCTCTTGGGGTTTCCTCCCCTCCCCATGCCCCAGGCAAAGCCCAGAGCTCCGAACTCACCCCTGTGCCTGGGCAAGGCTGGGTGGGAGGAAAACCACCCTGCCCTGGTTATGTAGGTGCTGATGAAGAGGGGAGGTGGAGCAACCCCCCAGGACCACGGGCCCGCCTTCCTGGGGTACTGCCCTCAGGAGAGCCCGCTCTGGCTGGACCTCACCGTGCTCGAGCACCTGAAGGTCTACGCGGCCGTGAAGGGGCTGCGCAAGGGGGACGCGGCGGTCACCATCACCAGGTACCGAGGGGGGGTCTCCAATGTCCTGCCCCCTGCAGGGGAGGGCACCAAAAGGTCAAAATTCACTGTGAGCCACAGAAAACCTTCATAGAAAGTCAGGAAATGTGGCTGCAAAAGTGCTTTTGTGCCAAAAGCCGTGATGGAGTGGGTTAAGAAAGCCTCCAGTTTTCCCGAGGGCGTTCACAGGGGATATTTTTTTCTTTAAATTTACGACTAATGTCCTTTTAGGGGATGTTATCTTTTAGGTGTGTTATCTGCAGGCAGATTTCTAAAATCTTTAATGCTGCAGTTTGGTACAACAAGAAAGGGTTTTAAGTACTGCCTGCTCAGCTGACTCTGGCAAGGTGGAATGGATTTATAGTGCTCTTGACACTAATGATGGGTTTAGAAAAGAGCTTGTGGCTTATTCAGTACACTTTGCTTCAAATATTCACTTTCATTTTAATAACACAATAAATGTTTAATGAAAACAAGCAGGAGTCAAGAGCAAGGGGAAGACAGTTCCTTCTCCTTGTCATTTTGGGGATCCTTGATGAGCTATTGATTTGGAAAAACAAAAATGTTCTTTTTTTTTTCCACTTCTCCCTTTCCCCACAGGATAGTGAATGCTCTGCAGCTTCAAGACTACCTAAAAAAAAAAGTCAGAAAATTGTCTGCTGGGATAACCAGAAAGGTGTGGTTTGCTTTGCCTGTAATGGGATCTGCAATGCCCACAGCACAAATTAAAAACCTCCTTCACGAGCAGAGGGACCTGCCTGTGCTCTGAGCGACCCGGGAGGGCACTGTGTTGCTTCCCATAGCGGGGTGATGGGAATAACCCTTTTCCAAAATGGCATTTCCCATAAATCAGAACCTTAATTCCCAAAAAAACGGGCGAATTTTAGAGTGCCAAGGCGTGTAAAAGCTCTGACCAAGCCCCTTTCCCTGCCCTAGCTGTGTGTCGCGGTGTGTATGCTGGGCAACCCCTCCATCCTGCTCCTGGATGAGCCCTCCACGGGCATGGACCCCAACGGGCAGCGCTGTGTCTGGTGAGTAGGAACTCAGGCATTGTACCACCCCGGTGGTCAAGGGGTGGGAAAGCAAAAAGCAGGTGCCTAATTTTAGGTAAAAGGGTGTTTTACCCCCTCCACAGTTGGCGCCGCTCAGAGTGTGCCAACTCCGTGTTCTTGGCTCTCTCTAGATCAACCATGGGCAAGGAGAGAGAAGAACCATTCTACCTTCATCCTTTTTGCAGACTTTAGGGCAGTTACATATGGGATTTGGAAGAATTCACGATGACACTTGAGCCAAAAGTACTTCTTGTCATTATTTCAAAGCACTACCCTGTGCTCATCAGTCCAAACTTGCTGTATGTGAAGATTATACACTTGCTTTAGGGGAGAGGCACTTGGAGGGACAAAGGTATAGGGAAAACATCCTGACATTTCTAGGGAGTGTTGGGCTTTCTTTTTTATCTTTTTTTTTTTCTTTCCCTCAGGAAGATGATCCGTGATGCCCTGACAGCCCAGGAGTCGGGAGCCATCCTGACCACGCACTACATGGAGGAGGCGGAGGCCGTGTGTGACCGTGTGGCCATCCTGGTGTCTGGGCAGCTGAGGTGGGTGACAGCACACAGCCAGCACGTGGCTGAGCTGGGAAACCATCCATGTTCCTCCTCTGGCCTCACCTGCCCCCACCCCGTCACCGTGGGCTTTATGAAGCGCTCCCCGTGGTTTCCCCTAACGTACTGTTTGTTTGGGAAGGAGCAGGCAGAGGGGTTGCAGTGGTTTCACACCAACTTCTTGCTCCTCCCTCCCTCCTTCCCTCACCTGCAGGTGCATTGGCTCCATTCAGTACCTGAAGAACAAGTTTGGCAAAGGGTATCTGCTGGAAATCAAGGTCAAGGATCCAGAGCGCACAGATCTTCTCCATGCCGAGATTTTGAAGATTTTCCCAAGCGCAGCCCGTCAGGAGCGGTAACTAAAGAATATGGGATGAATAGTGGTCCCAACACTGTCTCATCCCTAAAAATATGCCCTGTGTGATGGCCAGACACAGGATGCCAGCTGTAGAAGGATGAACAGCTCAGAGTCCCACTATGGAGACCTGATTTGATAAAGTCCCCACATCCAACCCTCCTGTGATCCTGACAGCAGAACACCCAAACATCCACAAAGTTTTGATCCCAGAACCTTATTACAGAGCAAGAATCACCTTTCCTTCTTTTTCTTGAAGGTTCCCCTCTTTGCTTGTCTACAAGGTCCCAATGGAAGATGCACTGCCCCTGTCTCAGTCTTTCTCCAAGCTAGAGGAAGGTAAGAACAAAACAAGATGACCTTTTGTGAAGGTGGAGCACAGAGACTGCTGATTTTTGTCTCTCTTCCCATTTCTCCACAGCCAAACGAAGCTGCAACCTCGAGGAGTACAGCTTCTCCTTGAATACTTTGACTCAGGTAGGTGATTTCAGGGCTAGTTGTGCTGTAAAGGCCTGAGAAGAAGCAAAGGCTGCAGCGAAAGCTGGGCTGGTGCAGTGGCAGCTTCACCAAAAAACTCCCTGAGGGTGATGGGTGGGGGGTCCTCAGCTGGGAAAATTATGATAAATGGTTGGGGTTTTTTACTGCTGGGATTTTCCATAGTGGGAAAAAGTGAGGGTAAAGTCCCAGACTCCACTCCCAGGCACACATCACACCCCAGGGATGAGTGCCCTTGGTAGGTACCCATACCCAACCTCTCCAGTTTCTTTGGAAGCAGCAGATTATTGCTGCTTGTACAGGGCTGGTGGAAAAGATAAGGAATGTGTATGTCAATTAATTGGTGGGTAAAATCTACTGTATGGACGTACCCATGGCAGGTCATACCAGAGAATATGCTGAGTCTCAGCTGCCAGGTACCTGCTCCCCACATAAAGCTGCTTCACACACCTCTCACAGGGCCTGCAGAACTGTAAAGGAGCATCACAGCATCTCATGAAAGCCAGGAAAGTCATCTGAGCTTTATCTTGCCCATTTCAGGTGTTTCTGGAACTCACCCGAGAGCAGGAAAAGGATAATTTTGATCTGACTTTGGACGGGACTTTCGAATGGAAGCAGCTTCAGCAGCAGGAGTGTTGAAGGCCCAAGATGCTCATTTATTACTCAATATTAACCAAATGCATGTATTTACTGCCACTATCAGTGTACTTCCAGCGACCAGCAGCTGAGGGCTCCTCTCTGAAGGAGAAGACATCCCACCTGGACTCTGCAGCTGCCTGAGGCCCATCCCAAGCTGCACTTCCAAAGGGTGGTGGAGGAAATAGTGCCTGACTGGTGAGAGCTCTTGTCAAGCAGAGCAGGCTGCAGCCCAGGGACTGGAAGGTTTGCAGAAAGAGGGGTCATGGCTCATCTCTGGGGATGCAGTCTCTCTGGATCTGGGGGCATCAGGGAATCCCCACACGCTGCTGACCTTCTGGGCTCCTCCCCCACCAGTGTCTGGGACTGTTTGCCTGTGACATGTTCAAATATTGAAATTTGCACTCCATTTTTATACCCTTCCAATAAATGTCTCTATAGAAACTACAGTTACATCCTCATCTCTCATCGTTGCTGGGGAGCACCAGGAACAGCTCAGACTCCTTCCCCTGGGCATGGAGGTGCTGCAGAGGGCTCGGGGTGATGGCCAGGTGGTTGCAGTCCCTCTTGTTGAACTATCTCTGCCAGCCTGGCTTGGCAAGTGCTCTCCCCTCCCCTCTCTCCGTGCTTGGACAAGGGACTGTCAGTCCTTCCCCTGGAAACCACCCTGGGCTCTGCAGCCTGGAGAAGATTCCAGGGATATCTCAGAGCCCCTTCCAGTAGCTAAAGGGTCTACAAGAGAGCTGGAGAGGGATTTTTTACAAGGGCATGTAGTGACAGGACGAGGGGGAATGACTTCACACTGACAGGGGGCAGGGAGAGACCCTGACACAGGTTGTCCAGAGAAGCTGTGGGTGCCCCATCCCTTGGAACATTCAAGGCCAGATTGAAAGGGGTTTGGAGTAATCTGGGATAGTGGAAAATGCCCTTGCTCACTGCAGAGGGGATGGACTAGATGACTCTTAATAGTCCCTTTCAACCCCAACCTCTGACTCTGTGATTTCCCTCCTGTTATCCCCGTGCCCGGATCATTTGCAGAGGTTGAAACTCTCGCAGAAAATATTGATTCAAATTCTCTCCACACAATCCCAGTGGTGGCTGTGTTGCAATCCCTGCTTGTGTATGTTCCCCACTCAGCTTCAAAACATATTTTGGCAGTTGGAGGACACACTCTTAGAGAGATCCTGGCTATTTCCATCCTGGTTGCACAACAGCTCCCTTTCTACTCCTCACCCCTGAGAAACGGGTAAGTGAAGTCACCAAACATTTTTGTCACCTGTTCTTACACTCAGCTCCAGGAACTGGGAATTCTGTGCAAGGGAAAAGTTTTATTTATTGCCCTGCGGATATCAGCAGTGCTGAGGAACTAAAGCCACGAGCCTCCTGAGATAAATACAGTTTATATGACCCGTTAGTGTTAGGGGGTTTTTTGTCATCAGCATTTTGTGGTCTGTGCCTCTGGAGATGCTGCTGGTGGTGTTGGTTCCTCTGCTGCAGTGGCTGCTGCTTTGAGTGGACTTGTGAAATACTCTGGCTTTCCTCTGCTCTGCCCTCTGTTTCTCTGCCCTTACACAGGGACCCTCCAGGAAACTTCTTCTCTTTACCACCCAGCACGATGGAACCAGGCCCCTCTGGAGCTCTTTGGATGATGCAAAGACCCAAACAGTACTAAAAGGCCCAGAAAACAAGTCCTGTCTTAGAGAGAACGTCTCTGGAGCTGGAAATGATGACTTACTTCTGACAGCACTTGGACAGTTGTGTCTTCCAAGGAACTGCCACCACCACTCTCCACCCTCCACTTCCACAGGTTTGACTGACTATTCCCCATGATACTTGACATTTTCCATCACTTGCTCCATCACCCCCTGCACAGGGAGGAGAAGGAAAAAGACTCACAGAGAGTCCCCAGAGCGGAGCTGGTTGGAGCTGGGGCTTTGCATCAGCCTGGAGGGAAGGGGGACAGGGCTTGTGGCATTGCCAGCACACACTGGAGATTTCCATGTCCTGGCTCACAGCCAGTGCTTGGAGAAAGGGGTTCTGTCACCAGCACAAAGCAGAGCTTAGCTGGCAAGGGGGAATGAACAAAAGTTCTCAAAAAGTTCACAGGGACTTAGCTTTTCCATTGGAAAGGAAAAAAAAAAAAAAGGAAAAGAAAGAAAAAAGAACAAGAGAGAGATTTCCTGGAAGTGCACTGACTTACTGAATATTCCCTTTGGAGTTTGCCTCCACCCTTCTCCCTTCCCCTGCCTGGAGCTGAAGGGCTGCAGGAGGAAAACCATCCCCAGCAGCTGCAGTCGCTCTACCTGCTCCGGGATTGCAGGGGCTGTGACAGCATCACCTCCAGCACAAAACCAGCCCCAGGACTGCCCTGACAGCCTGGTTGTTCCCCTTGTTTTGCAGCACAGCACGAGCCCCCCGTGCCCTTTGCCTCTGGCCGTGCCAGAGGGTGGGTCCATCATCCAGCATGCAGTGGGTGAGGCAGCTCCTGCTGCAGATGCCACACGCTCCCCACAGTAACTCAGGCAACGACTTAATCTTATCAACAGGAAAGTTCTTATTTATTAGATCTAATAATGCCCCCTTTATGCAGCAAAGCCACCAAGCACACAAAGGGCCATTCACCAGCTGCCTCCAGCTCTGATCCACAAGCATCACATCCCAAACAGGCGTCCCGACAGCAAGGAGCAGCCCAGACCTTACAGGTTACTGAGAAAAACAAGGCCAGATGGTAAGTTTTGAGTGCTGGGGACCAGGGGAGCAAGGCACGTGTGTGCTCAAGGTTTAGGAGCCTGGGGACAGGCTTGTCACCCCAAGATTTGGGGAGCTAAGGGGCATTTGAGGGACAGTCCACACAGTCAGAGCTGTGACAGAGATGGGCATTGTCTAGTTCAAAAGCTAATTAAGCAACTCCCCTTGAGTGCAAGTAAGCAAAGCCAGCAAAAAGTGGCATTTCTGAGAATTCCAAGGAACTTCACAAGAAG